CCCATTTCGCTGCCCCATTTCGCTGCCCCATTTCGTTACCGCATTTCGCTGCACACCATGTCAACGCCCGACGAGCTGACTGTGCTCATTCAGAATCTGCAAAAATGCAACAACACGAGCGAATCGATCAACTTCGACCTGGCGAGGACCATCCAGGAGTTTCTCAACTGCTTGGACAAAAATGTACTGGAGGAGCTAGAAGGGGGAATACACGAGAGCGAAAGGGAAAAGGAGAATGACAAGGAACGGGACAGGGACGTGACGAACAGCTTCACCTCAGCGGCTATTTTTGTGGAAAACTGTGTCAAAATTTTCGGCCTCAAAATTGAGCATTTGCACAATTTGGCCCATAACACGCTGTACAATATTTACAAGGAGAATCGACATACCAATTCAGGGAAGAAGCACAACGTTATGTGCGACGAGGAGGAATATTTGTTCATTAACGAAGTAAAAAATTTAAAGAGTTGCCCCGGGGATAACGAGCCATGCATGGAGGACGACCTGCTGATCAAAACAATTCCATTGCCCACTTTTCTTTTTTCTGAAAATGTGAAGAAGAAGGAAGGGTTTGTGGAAATGAGACCAGACATGTCTACAGTCACTGGCACAGGTACACACATGGATGTTCATTTGGACGTGATAAAGGAGGTCGCCACGGATTTGAGCCTCTCCCATGGTAACGCAGATGGTCGGGGTGGTGACGATCGAAAAGCGAACTCCAAAATGTTAAAGCAGCAGGAAGAAGCTTCCAACGAGACAATCGAGGCAAGCCTGACAACCTCCGCATGGAGGGAGGGAGAAAATGACCGCCTGACCGATGAAGCGGAGGAGGTACTCGAACAGAATTCCATAAAGCCTCTAAATTTCGACAAAATGTACCTCGAAAATGATGGAATTCTCCTGCTAGACATAAACGACTATAACATTTTCATAAATGACCAATACGATTTTTCCATTTTAAACCAAAACAGTTCTATGCTGTTCGAAAAGTATGACTTTTCTTGTTCCAGACATTCAACATATTTGTCTCCCACAAATCTGAGGAAATATATGGAGAAGGAAAAGACAGTGAATGACATTTACAAGACTTATAATTTTAATGACCTCCTGAATGATGATTTATGTCCACACATGTTCCTATTTAAGAATGACTTTTTCGATTATGACCTTGCCCTGGGCATTATAAAAAGCAAAAAATATTTGTTGAACAGATTTAAAGAACAGAAGAAATATTTGTATGTCCTGGATGAGAATTCGCATATGGACAAGGACAAAATGGGAACAGCCACGATTGAAAAAAATGAAATAAAAAGGAAATTGCCCCACTATTATATGCTTAATTGTCAGAATATAAAACATGCAGAAGATTTTTTCACCTACATGCAACCCAGCCAAATTATTGACATCATTTCTCGCAATGCGGAGAGGAGATATTCTTCGTTTCACCCAAGTGGGGACACATCGCAGTGGGGGGGAAATGGCATCACGGCTGCTACAGTAACGGGCCCGCTAGGCGGCACACCTTCGCCTAGCCGCTCCAACGACCAGAAGCTATTTGAACAAATAAAAATCCCAGACATTTATATTCAAAAGCTGGGGCTCAACTTCGACTACTACCACCTGGATCCCCTCATCTACAACTTAATAAAAGAATTGAAGAAAAAAAAAAACGTGGAAAAATACTTCTCCTTAAATTTGTTTGACGAGAAGAACAACTACGACTTTGACATTCTGCAGGACGAAGAGTACGTGGATGACCAGAATGAAGAAAACGCAGCCGCCGAGGGGGAGAGTAACTTATGCACTGAAAAGTTTTTGGACGTGCGATCTCTACATGGTGGCATGATGGATGGCATGATGGATGACATTCCGCTGGAAGTTTTTGAAAAAAAGGACTCCTCCGATGCGTTTTTCGCTTCCTTCGACGAGGATATTCACGACAGGTGGGTATTTTTTCCCCGCCATCACATTGTGCACGTTGCGGCCATTTGCGCGGCCATTTTTGCGACATTTTACACACGCCCCTTCCACCCACCCGCAGAGTCAACAAATGGAACGTCTTCCTCGAAGAGAAACTTCAACTCCTCAGGAGCCACCCCAAATATGATGTAGACCTGTACAAAAAAAATATCATCCATTACACCATAAATAGCGGAGAACAAATTCCCCTCTCAAATCTAATCAAACATAAGGAGCCCTACCAAGTGTGTAGGAACTTTCTCACCACCCTAATGTTAATCAACACTGATGTTCTTCAAATAAGCCAAATCAACCTGCACAGCGAATCCAACGATGTCAGCAATTACCAAATTAATGTGAAAAGGGAAAACGTCCAAGAGTACCTTGGCTCATCGCAAAAAATTAAAAATGCGAGTTTTGTCTTAAAGGATAAGAAGAGAAAGACTGCTTCAAAGGGGGACACGTCCCATACCAAGCCCGCCAAAAAAAAGCCGCCAAGGATTAGTAGCCACTGCGATGGAGGAGTCTCTCCAGGGGAAGAACAACTCGCACCACCGTGAAATGAGTAGTTTGTTGTGCAAATTGGGCAAACCCCACAACAGAGGTGTAGTTAGGGGCACACCTTAGACACACACACACCCTTCCCACATAACCGCAATTTTAGTGTGGTAGCATCATGGGTTGCATAAAAGGTCAATTTCTTTTTTTACCGTTTGAAGACCTACCACTCAGGTGGATCATCTTCGTTTCGCTGGCCGCTTACCCAAACAATTCCCACGCCTCAATCACTGCCCCATTTTGTCAAAAACAAATTCCCTTCAACTTGTTTCTCCACAATTAACCGAAAATGCATTGTCTACAAATTTTGAAAGCTGCAATGGCTATTTTTGCGTTGGCCCATTTTACACATTTTATCACCCGAGGCAGATTCACTGGCGGGGGGTCGATGGACCAGTTCACTCCCCCGCCGCTCCCCTGTACTTGTATCCCTTTTTTTGTTTTCTTTTTTTTTTTTCCAAAATTTAACAGTTATTAATTATCAAACAGCGGAACAAAGAAAAAAAAAAAAAAATTAAAGAATTAAATTCATAACGACATTGCCTCTAACGGGACGTGCCCACATGTACATGCACATACATATATACAATATACATGCGCGTGACTGCGCAATGCTATACGCACGGTGGACGCAAACGCGTCGTCTTCTACAAATTGTAAAGCAAATAGAGGCTCACTCAAAAATCGGCCAGCGTGTCCTTGTGCGTACACACGGGAGAGAGAGTGGCCTACATACAGGGAGGGATGGCAGATGGGAAATCCAAAAAAAAAAAAAAAAAAAAAAAAAAAAAAAAAAAAAAAAAAAGAAAAAAAAAAAAAAAAAAAAAAAAAAAAAAAAAAAAAAAAAAATGAAAAGAGGAAATTTTAGAAGGGAAAAGGGGAAAAAGGCAAAGCTCCAATTTCCACTCAACGCGCGACCGCCCCATTTGCATGTTATGGCCAAAAAAATATCCCCGAAATATGCATCCGCGTAAGGGGGATAAAATTATACAACATATATTATAATGTACGTATATTTTTTTTATACATATGTATATACTTGTTATATAATGTATATATATATTTTTTTTTTTTTTTGCATATGTATATAAATATCTTTTACATATGTACATATTCACAAATATAAAATACACCACACTTCCCCCATTTTGGCCCCATTGAAAAATGAAAAAAAAAAAAAAAAAAAAAAAAAAAAAAATTCATGTAAACAGGGAAAGAAGCGAAATGATGAACACGTGAAGAAATAAAAAAAACAAAAAGTACTTTCCATTTTTTTTATACCGTTTTTTCTCATCCATTTTGATTGCACAA